TAGAGAACAAATTTTAAATGTCATAACTGGTTAATGTTGTGTTGCCAGGTATATGAGAAACAGTGGTTGAGAGTGAAAAAGCCAGAATATTATACTGAAGTCATGAGTCTAAAAAAGAACATGTGTTCTGGAAAAAAGACTGTCCTTCTTTCCCGATAATAAGGGGTAAACATTCAACCTGGGCCATAGTCAAGACTTTGGGAGGCAGGAGTTGGTCACTACAGGTTATCGTCTGTAGGAAAAATACCCATGGAAGAGATAAGAAGACGAGGAAGAGCCTAAAGAAATAAAGACATTGCAGTCAAGAGTTGGGCCCTTTGTAGGACAAAATTTGAAAATTAGATCATTTGAGGAAATATGTATCAGTAGGGACAATAAACTAAAAGAGGAAGATGTGTCTTATCTAATGTAAGATACGAAGGCATTATAAGAGAAACTTGGTACCAGGCTTCAGAAATACGAAAGTACTTAGAGCTGGTAGTATGCTAGAGTATGACCTTTTTTCTTCTTCTTCTTCATTTTCTCTGTGCACCCCACCCTCAAAGTGTGACTTTTAGAATGAAAAGTGCGCTACCATGGCTGGCATTAGGAAGTTTAAAAGGAGAAAAACAGAGCTGAGACTATACTAAAATTTTTTCCGATGTTCATTCTTAGCAGAATGCATTGCCAGAAAGTGAGGAGAATAAATTAGCATTAAATTCTTTCTGAAAGGAGTGGGATGTTCAATTTGGTGAAGTCAGTTTGACTATAAACAAGGGAAAATCTAAAGCACCTGGAGTCTATTGTTAAAAGAAGCTAAAGGAAAAATTACAAAATCAATTTTTGATGTATTAGCAAGAAAAAGAAATGTTTATTAAATCCAGATAGAATAAACTTGTTCTAGTCTTAGTTTTGGGATACTTATTTACCTCTACCTATAGATGATCTTTTGAAATTGTTAATTGTTATTGATATGATACATCTGTCACAAATAAATAAGAAGCATATGTATACAGACACATATTGGTTACACCTTTAATTGTACATTTTTCTGGAAATTTCTCCAGATAATTTTGACTTATACTGAAATATAAAATGAAAAATGGATAATACACTTGCTAGAAGTACTGTCCACTTTATAAAATATATCTTAAATATGCCACTCTACGATACAGTATTATATACATGTTTTTCTTTATTACTCTGTTTTTTATCATTGTCAGCATTTTATGGGAGCATGCTATTTTTGGGGGGAGCACTCTATTTGTCTTCATTTTATTGATAAACACATCAGAGAAGGATTTCCCTCTGAATTTCTGTTTTTAGGAGTGAAATTGGCTAACCTTTGCAGCTCAAACTAAAATTCAAGCTCATTGTGATTGAGTCAGAACCAACTCATAAACTGACCCATCAGCAGATTTTCTAAGACTGTAAATCTCTTGAGGAGAAATTGCCTATCTTTCTCCCTGGGGGCTGCTGATATATCAAACCATCAGAAAGGTGATACCTCTGGGTTAGAAGTGTAACTTCTTAGAAACCATACACCACCGGAGCTCGTAATTGTGCTGAGTTACAAAATTATGCTACTAGGATGATAGAGAATCTGGAAACTTGTCATATAAAGAACAAAGGAATGTGGCTATGTTTAATCTGAAGAAGAAAATTCTCAAATGAGAGGTTAGATCAAACAATTGAAATGGAATAATGAAGAGAAAAAAGATTTGGTTCATTTGCTGTGCCCTCCAACAGACAGAACAAGTAGATTTGGACTGAGTGAGCCTCATTTCTGTTTCTTGTCTATCTGCTCTTTACCTATGAATCATCCCTTTATGTGACATTTTGAATTTATGACAATATTTTTAAAACTACTTTTCAACTATTCTGTACATAACAATATGCATTTAATAATAAAGATCAAAGTGTGAGGCAACAATAATGCTAGCTTTGATGGCTAAGGTTATGTCTACTTGGCTAGGCCATGATTCTTAGTGGTATGGCAATGACACGATGATGTATTACTGCCCATTTTGTTACCTACTATGATCATTCTTCATGTCTACTCGATGCAGATTTTTGCATAATGATCTGATCTTGAAAACTTACTATGTCAGTAAGTGAGGAGTGAGTGTGTAATCACCTGCCAGGGATGACAGAGCATAGAACTGTAGTCAGGTCACATTTCCAAAACCAAACTTAATTGCCTTCAAGTTTATTTCTACCTCAAGAGACTCACCATTGGGTTAACAAGGCTGTAATCTTTGACTAAATAACTGTTTTGTTGTACAGCATGCTATATATACTATGCCACTAAAGCTTCTCAATTTAACAGTACTAAATTAATAATTGAGTCCTAGAGCTTTGCCTTATTTAATGAATTTTAATTAATTCTTATATTGTTAAATTGGTAACTGGATAAAACTATTAGGTGTTATTAGACTTTTATAAGTCAAGGATTTGAGACAGTGCATTGACAGAGAACTACCAGAAATGCAAGCCGGGTTTTGAAGAGGTTATGGCACTAGAGACATTATCACCAATGTGAAATGGATCTTAGCTGAAAGCAAAGAGTACCAGAGAAATGTCTTTCTGTGTTTCATTGACTATGCAAAGGCATTTGACTGTATGGATCACAAAAAATTGTGGCTAACCTTGAGAAGAATGGGACTCCCAGAACACTTGCTTGTGCTTATGCAAAATCTATACTTGGACCACGAAGCAGTCCTCAGAACAGGAAACACTGCATGGTTCAAAATCAGGAAAGGAGTATTTCAAGATTGTATCCTGTTGCCATACCTTTAGAATCTATATGCAGAACGGATCACTCAGGAGGCAGGACTTTATGAGAAGGAATGTGGCATCAGGATTGGAGCAAGACTCATCAACAACCTGCTTTATGCAAATGACACAACCTTACTTGATGAAACTGAAGCATTTTCCGCAGAAGATAAGACTGTCGTCTTCAATATGAAACTCAACATCAAGAAGAGAAAGATTCTCACCAATGGGCCGATGGAGAAGAGATTGAAGTTGTTATCAATTTCCGCTTGCTCGGCTCCACAATCAACACTCTTGGCACCAGCAGTCAGGAAATCAAAAGATGAATTGCATTGGGAAGTCTGCTGTCAGAGACCTCTCCAAACTGCTAAAGAGCAGTGACATCAGTCTAGAGACTAAGGTGTGCCTGATCCAGGCCTTGGTCTTCTCAATTATTTGCTCTAGCTGGACAATGGCTAAGGATGATAGAAGAAGAATTGATGCCTTTGAGTTGTGGTGCTGAAGAAGAGTATTCAGCATACCATGGAACATCAAGAAAACAAACAAGTCTGTTTTGGAGAAAATGAAACCAAATTTCTCCTTGGAGGCTGGGATTTTGAGACTCTGTCTCACATATTTTGGTCGTTTAGCCAGGAGGGGCCAGTCTTTTGAGAGGGATATCATGCTTGGAAAGGTCGAAGGACAGCACAAGAGAGAGGAATACCCCAGATGAGATGGACTCACTAAAAAATTGGAGTAATAAGAGTAGGTATGACAGAGATGGTGACATTGGCTTAGGATAGAGCAGGGTTAAGAGCTACTGTGCATAGGTCGCTATGAGTCACAAGGGACTCGACAGCACATAACGACAAGCAAATAGAAAGGAAATGGGGAATCAAATAATGACTAATCCAAATTACTTGCTATGCATCAGACAGCTGGATAATGACTATGGATGATAGAAGGAGAATTAATGCCTTTGAGCTGTCATGCTGGAAAAGATTATTGAATATACAGTGGACTGCCAGGAGAACTAACAGGTTCATCCTAGAGAGGGTGAGACCAGGCTGATCCTTGGAGGCAAGGATTCTGAAACTTCATCTGACATGTTCTGAACATGTTGCAAGGAGGGACCAGTCCTTGGAGAGGGACATCATGCTTGGAAGTGTTGAGGGACAGTTCAAGAGAGGAAGACCCTTGATGAGATGGATTGATTCAATGACTAGGTTAATGGGGGTGGTATGTCAGAGACAATAAAATTGGCACAGGATAGAGCAGGGTTGAGGGCTGTTGTACATGGGGTCACTATGAGTTGCAAAGGACTTCACAACACATAACAACAACAACAATTTAAATTAATGTGAAAAGATAGAAAGAAACAAATACATAGGATATACATAAAGAAGTGTAAGATCATACGTAAATTTGAAATCTTGTTGTTACGTACCATCAAGTTAACACTAACTCAAAGCTGACCCTACAGTGGGATTCAGAGGCAGTAAAATCGCATGGGAGGAGAATAACCATGTATCTCCTGCAGAGAAGATAGAGGATTCAAACCATGTGCCTTTAGGTTGTTACTACTCCTTGCCACTACCACCAGAGCTCCCTGAAGTGCATTAGCAAGTAAATTAAATAGAAATGAACCAAATATTCCAACTAAAAGACCATCATTTTCAGATTATATCTTTTTTAATTTAATTGACATTTTAATGAACGTTTTATGGAAACTTTGGATTTCCATTCATTCATTATTGCACGTTAAAAACTATTTGCCCCACATAAGATGCATACTTTATATATAAAAATACGAAATATTGAAAGTAAAAGGATTAACAAGTAAATCCTAAAGATATGACTCAAAGTTGATTTGTTGTTGTTGTTGTTTAATGCCGTCGAGTCGTAGACGATTCATAGCGACCCTATAAATGAACAGCCTGAGCACTGTTCGTAATAGAGCTTCCGGAGGCAAGCCATTTTGGAAGTGGATGCCGCTCCTGCTTCCAAAAGTTGATTTAGATGAATTAATATCAATAATTTCAATTTCAAGACAAGAAACATTGCTTTAGATTACAAAATTTTTATTTAATAAGGTTAAAACATAACAGCTTCAAAATGTACATAATAACAGAAATGGATAGAAACAAAAAATTCACAATCAGAGATGGACATGTTAAAATATTATATCAGTGTTTCATTTAAAGTAAAGCACAAATACAACAAAGCATATCAGAAATGTCAACTATATATTTGTTCTTTTCATATAGGATTGGAGAAACTTGCACAAAAAGGAAAATCACTGTCACCTTTAGCAAGTATAACCGGGGTCTCACTCTTTTTGATTATATCCATGAGTCTTCTCTTCCTATGGAAAAAATACCAACCTTTCAATGGTAGGTGAATATTAGAAAATAAAACAAGATAGTTTTATGTATTTATCAAAGACTAACTTACTCTTTTTCCTCTTTGTTTTAGTTTTAAAGCAGAAACTAGAAGGCAGGTAAGACATTTGTCTTTACAATTTTTTTTCTTAATGTTTTCCCACAATTATTGGTCACTGACAAAAATGTCTGTCTTTTCAGACCAGAAACAGAATATAGGAGAGCTCAAGCATTTTCAGGTAATAGCCAAGCTGAATGTAAATATTTTGAGTGTTACTGCATGTTAGTTAATATTTATACTCATTGTTTTATATAAGATATAATTACTATAAGTGAATGCTAATATGATAATTTGAGATAACATTGTCCTGAGGTTTTATATATTTAGTCACACAGCTGTATAAGGTAAACCTGATAGGCGGCCTTAGCTCTATTATAAAAGCAAGAAATCAAGGGGGTCACAAATTGTCCCACAGTGCTGATGTCTGCTGAAACCTAGTTAATTTATCCTGAGTTTATTTCTAATATTGCAAAATGTTCTCCTATTGTTGTTGACTGTAAAATGACAAACCTTTTGGGTGTTCCTAAGGCAGATGCAAGGCTCACAGCTCTGACCTAGGAAGAAGAGGAAAGGGAGTTTCAAAGGGCCAGTGCTGCTGCTTTGTCTCCAACTGGCTCCTTACTGTCATCAATATTGACTGTATAGAGAGTTATTATAAAAAATTAACAACATTTTGCTTTTGCTCTTTCAGCCTTGGAGGTACACAGAGCTGAGTTTCAATTCCATAATGCGTGTTCTATATCACTTTAAGAAAATGAATTCTTTTTCCTGACCTGAACTTCCTCATCTATATAATAAAGATAATAACTTCCTCTTAGTGATATCAAATAAAAGTTAAATCTTTTAGTGATGTTATGCAAGTTAAATAAAAGTGTGTAGTTGGACTGCCAGATATTGTTCCTGGGTGCTTAGCAAATGTAAGCCTTCTCTCTCTTTTCTAACAGTTTCTCTCTTACAGATATTAGAATGTCATAGCTGGAATGGATTCCAGTGACCCTGTTGTTCCTTCTCATCTTTAGGCATTTCCTAAATGACACAGGACATTCATATTGTTTTGTTAGATTTCATAGTATTTTGTATGTATGAGTAGCTATGTTTGCTATGTTATATACAAAATAGGTATTTATTTTATTTGTTTTGGTGGTCCTTGTTAGATCTGTTGTTGTTGTTAGATATCTTGGAGTCAGCTCAAACTCATATCAACCCTATTAATAAGAGATCAAAACTCTACCCAATCCTATAGTAAGATGCATTAGATATTATAGAAAGATTGTGGTTACCACCTCCTAAAGTTTGGGGGTTTAATTTTTTTAATTAATTTTTGCAATTGAGAAGACCATAGCTTACCTCCAGAGCACCTTAGTCTTCACACTGACATCATCATTCTTCAGTATTCTAGAGAGGTCCCTGACAGTAGATTTTTCCCAGCACAATACATCTCTTGGTACTGCTAGTACCAAGGGTACTGAAAATGGTTGTTGAAGATAAATTATGGAAGTAGATAACTAGTAAAATATGTATGAGAGTCCAAGGGGGTGAGGGTAGGAGCAGATGGCTAAGGAAAGGAAGGGGGATAATCATAAGGTTGCACAATTTGATGGGTGGAAGGAAGAGTGGAGAAAAGAAATGGGAAAGATCCGGTGTGAAAAACAAAGTATATCCAGGGTCACTCATGTGTGTAATATTTTATGAATTCCTTATTTTTCGGTGCTGTGTAGTATCCCATTGTGTGTTAATACCATGGTTTTTCTATCTATCCATTCATTTATTGGTGGGCACATAGGTTGCTTCCATCTCTTTGCTATTATGAATACTGCATTGGAACAGATGAAGGAAATAAGTCATTAAAAGGAATATATGATTAGGCATTATTTGTATGACAACAGTCCAGAATAAGAGGTGCTTAGCAAAGTGGACTGTGGGAGGAGGAATGGGGAGTAGGAAATCATGCAACAATGAATAAATATATATCTTTTTTGGGAGTGAATTGTGGGGTAGAGAGGAAAACACGCAACAGTGAATAAATGAAAATAAAAATTTCCTGTAAAATTTCATTAAAATCACAATTTAAAAAGTTTAAAAAACAAAAAAGTATACAAACTTGGTAAACAAACCAGTATAAAATAAAAATTTCTTTAAAAAAGAAAAATTATGGGAGTAGACAATCCATCTTTCCCCACATAGTGAATTCAAACTGCTCCCCTTTCAGTTAGCAGCCTTACGCATAATTTACTACACACAAACCACTTAAAACAGACAAAAAGAGATATTTACAATTTTATTTTAATACAACAACTTGAGATATTGGTTGTAAGTAGCATTTGCTTTCTGTTTCAGGCCATGAAGATGCTCTAGATGACTTCGGAATATATGAATTTGTTGGCTTTCCAGATCCTTCTGGTGTGCCCAGGGTTGGTTTTCCTAGTGGCTAATTAGATAAAATATGGAGCCCTGCTTCAGCAGAGGTGTAAGCTGTGTTCATGAAGCACTGGAGCGTTGTGCTGAATGGCTACATTCCCCTTCATCAGCATTTAACACACTGTAATGAATGTGATTGTGAGACTTGGGGTAGATCATCTTCTGTAGCCTTTATAGATAAGGCTAATACAAATAAGGCCATCATCTTAATTCAGTAATCCCTAGCTGTAAACTCAGTGAAAATCCCAACAAGGCTGCAGGTCAAAGACATGTATAAATTGGGAATTGGGTAGATTCAAACTACTGAGGTTACAGTTACCACTTAGCCACTAGACATTAAGGTTCCTTGTGATTAACCAGGACTTGTATTAAGGTTTTATATTGGGAAGATCAAAAGTCTACAGTCCTCAATAACTTGAGGTGGAAGAATGAATACATTAATTATAAACCAGAAGCCCCGTAACTGAAGCTTTTTCATACCTTTCCGCTATATACCTGAGTAACTTGCTCTGGAGCCATGCCCACATTTAGAGGCAGATAAACTCTGAGGAATCTGTTGAGGCTCTTTGTTGACTGCACCATCCTGTTTTGGAGAAGAGAGAAATCAGGCTAGCAAGTAAAGGAGGATAGAAACCAAGACAGAGGAGGAGAATCTATGTAGGAAGAAGCCAAAATAGCAGTTAAACAGCAAGAACAGCAGCCAAACGTCATGGCCTTGAGAGGAAAAGAGAAACTGTAATGAAACTAGTCTCAGAATTCAGGGAAAATAATCACTAAGTCTTTGAAATTTAAAAAATAGAAATAATAACTTGTGATATAAATCCAAAGAGAATTCTCTTACTCTTTCTACTTGTTTTACTTGCTACTCTTGCTCTTTGAGAAGTTGGATAGAAGGAAGTTTTGTGAAATTAGCATGTTTATCACTTATCAACAGCTCTAATAGCTCAGCTCAGGCTTTTCAAGAAAAAGAATCTTCTAGATGGGGACTAAGGTACGCCTGATCCAGTCCATGGTCTTCACAATTACGTGCTATGCATCAGAGAGCTGGATAATGACTAAGGATGACAGAAGAAAAATTGATGCCTTTGAGTTGTGATGCTGGAGAAGAGATTTGAACATACTATGGACCACCAAGAAAACAAATAGGTCTGTCTTAGAGAAGGTAAAATCAAGTTTCTCCTTAGAAGCTAGGATTTTGACGCTCCATCTTACATAATTTGGACATGTGGCCAGGAGGGACTGATCCTTAGAGAAGGACATCATGCTCAGAAGGGTGCAGGGACAGTGCAGAAGAGGAAGACCCCAAATGACATGGATTGATACATAAATAGGAGAGTAGGGGTAGGTGTATCAGTCAGTGAGACTGGCTCAGGACAAGGCAGGCTTCCAAGCTATTGTATATAGGGTTGCTGAGTTGCAGGGGTCTTGACAGCACATAACAACAACAAGGTGCAGATGTATAAATATGACATACCAGAAGTTGTATTGGAGAAGAGTACTGAATATCCCATAATCTGACAAAAGAACAAACAAATATTTCTTGGATAAAGTACAACCAGAGTGCTCCTTAGAGGCAAGGCTAACAAAGCTTCATCTCATATACTTTAGCCATGTTGTTGGGGGGTCTATGCCTCGGAAACAGACATAATACTTAGAAAAGATAGAGTGTCAGTAAAAAAAAAAGGGGAGACCCTCAATGAGATGGATTGACACAGTGACTGTGACAATGAGCTCAAGTGTGTCAGAGCTTATAAAAATGGAACAAGATAAGTCAGGGTTATTCAGAGTGTTGCTATGAGTCATATTTGACTCTATATAACAAAAACAAGAAGTGATCGACCATCCTTCTCACTGCTGTTGAGTCAATTCCCAAAAACTGGTCGGTCACAAGAAGAAGAGTGTAGGTGGGGAGAAGAAGAGACTTTGGTAAAATAAATGGAAAGCAGTATTTGCAGGGGAAAGGAAAATATGAAATATTAAAAAAATAATGTTACTAAAAGATGAGTGTCAATCTTAATAAAATGCATGCTGGGTTTTACCAAATAGAAATACACTACTATACTTTTCACAATTATTCAATCATTTAGCGTTGACTAGTATTAAAACTAATGCAAATATCTCCTTCATTAGTTCTCTATTTTTCGGTACCATTTTTGTTTTACACAAAGTGACCAGCACTTCCAGCTTTCTTTGCTTTTCCATCACCTCTGCACACATACTTGGCCAATACTATCAAAAGAACAATGGAGATGCAAGATAACAACATGTGCGTTCTGATTGTAAGCTGTCTAGAGATCCCTGCTTTTGCTATTTTCCCCTTTCTATTCTATTTCCCTTACAGTAGGTACTACCAGCTTTCTTCTTAAATGAAGGGAGAAGGGGAGTTAATGATAGATTGGTCAAGCTATTCCTCTTCTGACCTCACAGCTGTGCCGTGGCACTACCACAGGGTAAGTGCAGGGAACTAGGGCAAAAGGAACACTCTAGAGGAGAGAAACACAATCATCACTAGTTCCCATTGTTTTCAATAATATGGTCTATTGGAAAACTATCTACTAGTCCTCCTTTAATTTTCATTTTAAACGTGTCCCATTTTCAGATGCCGAGTAGCCCTGTTCTTGCCTCTGATGATGTATTAGGACAAGAGTTGCACAATACAATTTATGAAGTTATTCAACACATCCCTGCCCAACAACAAGACCGTACAGAGTAAGAACAAATTTGCGTTTGGTGGGGCTACTGTGATGCTCAGCATTCAGCCCATGTTTTCTCCTAGAATGAATGGAAAACATGAAAATTTAAAAAAAACACATTAAAGCAGAAAACTAGTTTCTGTGCATCTGGTAGCACATCCTTAGAATGGTAAGCTGCTAACAAAGGCAGCACCTCTGACAGTCTAAAAAACATCAGTCTCCAAGGGAGAAAATGGGAAGTCTCCTTCAATGTGATTTATAGCCTCAGAAGCCCAATGACAGGTACCTAAAATTCAGTTTATGCTTGACAGTAATGAGAGAAAAGGAAAGAGTGGTTTAGTGTTAAGGAATTGGACTGCCAGCCCAAAGGTATGTTGTTTGAATCCACAAGCTGCTCTGCAGGAGAAAGATTGTACGCAATTTAAGGCCTTGGAAATCTGCTTGAGAGTCAGTTATGAATCAATTCCAACTCAACAGTACACAACAACTACAACAACAAAGGTAATTTTGAGAAATAAAACACAAATATCTAGAGCTAGTACTTGGTTTAGTGGACTAGATACAAAACTCTGGAACCAACTACTGTTGTTGTTGTTAGGTGCTGTCAACTTGAGCATGACTCAGTGTCCCTGTGAAGAGCAGATCTGAACCCCCTCCCATCGTGTGCCATCTTCAAGCTTTCTGACGCACCAGAGTCTGTTGTGTCAGTCACAGTGTTCATGGGGTTTTCGGAGGCCGGTTACTTAAGAAGTGGATATTTCCTTCTTTTCAGAATAGGAAAGGAGTCTTCAGCCCAATTCTCAAGCCATTGAATTGTCTTAACAATTTTATAGTGGAGATAGTGGTTTCAAAAAGTCCTTGGGGGCCTCAAATTGTTCAACATTCAACTACTGACTGAGGTTGGTGGTTCAAGTCCACACAGAGGTGCCTGAGCAGAAGGGGTCAACTGTCTTCTTCTAGAAGAACACCACTCGGAGAATCCTTTAAAGAACAGTTCTACCCTGTGCCATGGGGGATTGCCATGAGGGGGATCAGTTCAAAGGCAGCTGAGTTGGAGTGTTTTTGTGGTTTTTTTGTTTTATTTTTATGATGGTTTTATGCCCCTCAGTGATTCCAATTGTTAAGATTTGGCTGATAGCCAAAATATCTGAAATTTAAATCTATGCAGAAAAGCATTGGCAAAAAGGCCTGCCTGTTTACTTCTGAAATATTACAATATTGAAAATCCCCTAGAGTGGGGTTCTACTCCAAAATACATGCTTCACCATTAGTCAAGTTTAACTCAGTGACAGCTGGTTTGGTTTTGATGTATGGTGCTTTCAGGGCTGTGGTGACCAAAACAAAAATAAAAAAATAAACTCTGTAGAACTTTTGTAGAACAGTCAGCATCAAATGTTATGCCTCTTATAGAGAAAAAGCAAGTCTACTTCCATGTATATTGAACCACAGTGGAGACTGACCTCTGGGCCAAAAGAGGCAAAATATATGCTGAGAATACTTATCATTGCAAGAACATGGAAACAACCCAGATGTCCAACCATGAATGAATATATTGAGAAGTTGTACATTCACACAATGGAATACTGTGTAGCAAGCAGGAGCAATAATTTTGTAAATTACTACCAAACTTGGGAGGGACTGAAGAGCATTATGCTGAGTGAACTAGCTCAGTCCCACAAGGATAAATACTGTATAAAACCATTATTGTAGAATGAGTATGAGGATCCAAGGTGGGGCTCGGGAGGAGGGTGGAAAAAGAGAGATAAGGATGGGGGGAAGGTGTTAATCAGTTAATCATAGGGTTGTACAATTCAATGGGTGGATGGGGTGATGGAAATGGGAAGGAACTTTTGTGAAAAAACAACGTATTCAAACTTCATAAATAAATCAGAGTAAAATAATAATAATAATAATACCTCTCAAGAGTACTGAAGTGCAACGACATCAGGCTGGAGACTAAGGTGTGCCTGATCCAGGCTATAGTATTTGCTATGCATTGGAGAGTTGGACAGTGAATAGGGATGAAAGAATTGATGCCTTTGAGTTGTGGTGCTGGAGAAGAGTGTTGACTATACCATGGACTGCTAGGAGAACAAACAGGTTTGTCCTGGAGAGGGTGAAGCCAGAATGTTCCCTGGAGTCAAGGATTCTGAAGCTTCCTCTGACATACTTTGGGCATATTGCAAGGAGGAACTGGTCCTTGGACAGGAACATCATGTTTGGGAAAGTGGAGGGACAGCGCAGGAGAGGAAGACCCTCAATGAGACCGATCGATTCTCTGAGTGGAGTGGTGGGAATGAATGTGTTTGAGACAGCGAGGTTGGCACAGGATAGAACGGCATCTAGGGCTCTTGTACATAGGGTTGTTATGAGTCGCAAGCGACTCGATGGCACATAACAACAACAATAATATTAAAAAATATGCTGAGGCCAAAGCCAGGAAAATGGCGAGGCCCTAACCTCAAGATTGCCACCAAGAGGCCTTTTCCTGCAATAGAGAATGTCTAGTCTTTTGAAATAAGGAAACGAACTTTCCCTTTCTTGTAGCCCCTAATTGCCTGCTGATATAACCGCCACAAATCATCTTCTGTCATTCCTTTGTTTTTTATTTATTAACTTTGAAAAGAACATCAATACCATACACAGAAACTTTCCCTCTGGCAAAAGAAGCCTTTTTAGCAAAGCAATTTGTACACACCTCTGGGGAAGTACGAAAAATAACAGCTAGGAGAAATGAAAGCTTAAGACATGGCCTTACACAAAGGAAGGCCAGTCCTGTGGGAACGAGGCAGATGTTTAAGGGCCAAGTGCATAGAAAGCACGCTTTTAGAGGATCTTGTCAGGGAATCCCATCTTGTTCCAAGTCACCTGGAGAAAGGGGAGTCAGTGAAATTGTAAATAGACTTTGGCAGAGGGAAAAACATCTGGGTTTAAAAGGGGGATAAGAAAATAGTTTTAAATTATTACACTGTTAATCTCGAAATTATAAGAGTAATGTTATTCTTTTAAAGATTTTACAGTTTAGTCACTCCTGGTTATTTCTTTTCATTAACAACAAAACCAGACACCTACCTCAAACACATTGCTGTTGAGTCAGAACCACATCATTGGAGACCTTCTGTTGGGCTTCCAAGACTAAATGACACAGGAGATTACTCATCTTTCTGTAGAGGAAGAGCTGCTGGATTAAGGCAGCAGAGAGGCCTGCTGGCTAACTGTTCTATTAGCAGCACAGCTTCGTAAGGAGCATGTCACCAGAGTTCCCTAACTAAAGACTTGTTACGTACCACTGAGTTTGAACCAACTCATAGCTGACACTCCAGCAGGTTTGAAAAGGCTATAAATCACATGGAAGAAGATTACCCATCTTCCTCCCAGAGTCTGTAGATTTGAACTGAGCACCTTTGGCTTGAGAGGGCAACTCTTTACCTACTAGGCCAGTGATTCTTAGAAGAATAAATATGTCTGAATAGAACAAATACTGCCTTTAGATGCAGAGGTAGTTTTTTCATTATAATTTTTTTTGTTTAGGGCTAATTAAATTAAAACTCGAAATTTTTGTTGTTTGTTTTATAATACATGTGGTTGGTGACTCCCTCTCCACTCCCAATCTCAGTCTGAACATTCCAGTTCTGGGAATAGAATATGATCTAGCATAGGGTTTTTTCTTCATAATTTGACAACGTCCTTTTGAGATGGACAGAATAAACAAATAATTGCTCCTTTTGATCATGGTCAGTTTCAACTTGATGGTACACACAACAACAACAACAATAGGGTAGTCTAACTGAGTTGTTTTCTTGACTGTGTCGATCTATCACCTAAATGGGTTGTTGTGTGTGAGGTCAAGTTGTAACCGACCCATAGCTGACGCTCCAGTGGGTTTTCAGAGGCAGTATATTGCACAGGAGGAGACTACCCATCCTTCTTCCCCAGAGCATCTGGTAGATGCAAACCTTGTGCCTGTGGGACTCGAGTGCAGCTTTTTATCACAAGGCCACCAGACCAGACTTACCTAATTGAGTTGGTGGTTAAAAACTTAATAAATTGATCTTTTGTAATTTTCTGGTACTCAGACTGATTATTTGATTATTGAATTTGTATCTGCATTTATTTAAATGTTGACTGTTGTCTCCATTAAATGTTCTTGATACACTTTGTTTTAAACCCCAGGCTAGCTGTTAGTACTTTGAAAATAGAACATTCAAGTAAGCAAAACTTTTGTTTCAAAGGAAAATTATCTACAGAATTTAATGTTTGTTTATAGTCATTTGTAATTTTCCAGAATCCATTCAAACATTCGAATTATTTGCAACTCCATAGAGAAAGCAAAGAATTTAAGTTCTATCTGTGAAACTGGAAAAGCATAGAACATTTTACATATATTATATATCTCTTTAACAGGTGAATTTTCATGACCAAAGAAGTTCGCTGAAATGAACTCATGAAGAAATATTTTGAGGAAAACATTGCAAATGCCTATTCATCCTGAATTGAAGGAATCAAGCCCTATACAATACCACTTATTCATTTTCAACCAAGAACAGAGTTATTTGTAAAAGCTAGATGATAGGTTTCTAGCTTAAAGGAAAGTGGTAGAAAAATATCCCTCAGTGAACAGTTTTTACCGTCCTGACTGGAAGGAAGAAAAGGATGGAATTCCCCAGTCGATGTTTTTGTATCAATATTATTTAAAGGTTCAATTGGTTCTAATTTATACTTTCACTTTCCTCAACAATGACACTATCGTACACAGAAACATTTTATTTTCAAAATATCCAGCAAGCTTTGTTTTGTTCTATTACTCTTAAGATTGCTATATTTATTTTTTATTTCACTCAAAATCATCTTTCTTGCTATTGGTACCATAAAGTAGTAAGAATGGCTTCCATTGAACCAGACTGTGCCTTTTCCCAGATCTTCAATCACCAGTGGTGTTTTTGAAGAGTTGTGAAACACTGAAATACATGAATGATTGGTTTTCTTTTTAATTTTTGTTTAATCAAAGATAAGTTCAAAT